ACACACACACACACACACACACACACACACACACAGAAAAACATGATGAATACACTTATGGATGATTTTGGTGGGGATCAGTCTGTAGAATGTGATGTATACGCTCGGACACCTCTGCAGCAGGACAATACCTAATTCAAAATGGTATTTTGACATTTTGCCTTAAACAAATATTGCACCTCCGGCAGTCGGCCATATTGGATTATTGTGCAGCCCTAGTTTTATTGCAGAGAATTTACATCATTAAAAAATACATGAAACATGAATTAAAAAGTATTGTACCGCCAACACATCCCTCCTTTATACCAAAGAGAGGTAATTGTCTTTTGGCCAAACAAGTCAAATAGGGTCTTCTTGTGCACTAAAAAATGCTTTGAAAAAACAACAAGACTTATCATGTGAGCAAACCCTAGGCTAGTAGGATAGTTTTAGTCTGTTCTTGACTTACCTCTTGCACGTGGGACACGGACAGTCTGGGTCTATGGGCTGGAAGTCCTTGGCGTACTGCTTGTGTTTTACCTGGAGAGATCCCCAAGGAACCAAGGCAGAGCCAAACCTCTGCCAAAAAAAAAAAAAAAAAGAAGAAACATGACATCAGAAATCAGTTTTTTAAGTGGAATAAAAACCGCTAAATTAAAATGTATAAGGGACTATCAGTGTGTGAGGCAAAGATTGCTTACTGCAGTTCGGGTGGGGAACACGCAGTCGAACATATCGCATCCCAGAGCAACACACACCACCAAATCCACGGCGTACCTGCAGATCATACACACTGTCAATGTATAAAAACATAAAGCCCATAAACACAACAGTCCTCATAAGATATTTTAAGCATACAGAATGAGCTTTATAACTCTGGTTTTGGTTGCTCTCGATGCAAAGAGTGCTGAATAAATATGAAATGAGTAATGTAACCCGATGCTTTATTAGGCAAACGTACCCCACACCCATGAGGTATCGAGGCTTTTCTCGCGGCAGGTGGTCGGTGCTCAGGGTGACCATCCGCCAGAAGTCATTCTTCTCCTCTCCTCCACTCAGGCCGCCAATGGCAAAACCGGTAACATCGCGTTGAGTCATTTCTGCAGGAAGAGGATGAGATATCTAAAGCACAAGTTTGAGCCCTCATCATCGGTGTCGAACTGTTGAGAAGGGGCGAGTTTATAACTAGACCTGACATGTAAGTGTGAACGTGCGTTTCTGTTTTCTTTGCCGAAACGACGACTTCTGTCAAATATTTATGCACTTTAAAATTTGACAGTCAATATCTTGATTCCTTTTCACAGCCCGATACGTTGAACAAGACTTTTACCGTCAAAGCCGCCTGCCATCTGTTTGATTCACACATTCTTCCTCGTCGGATCGAGACGTAAAGGCTTATTAACATTCATGGAAAAAAATGGAATGGAGAGAAACATGATGTGAACTTTATAGTTCTAAAAATTGTAATAATTGGATTTTCAAGGCATTTTAAACGTGTTCTTAGGCTCCATCCAAATATGATCCAATCTTCCAGCATACTCAATCAATATCATGTATACAGGGACAGAGGAAGATAATCAAAAGTAGAAATTGTATTTTTACCATCTAGACAGGCCTGGCGCAGCTCTGCATTCAGCCCTCCCTGGATGATGGCAAAAAGGTTCTGTTTGTCTGGATTTTTATTGGCTGCAATGCAGCGGTCCAGCCAGCGAATGGATCGATGCATGGCCTCCTCCACCCGAGGTCCTGACACGGTACTGCTGACCACATCGTCCAGCTGCATCATGATGTCCGACCCTGGAAGAGAGAGGCCGTCTTTTAGCTACTGGGAAACTGAGAGGAGGGTCCAAGTTAGTTAATACTGATTGAAAGTATTTTGCTCCTTGCACACCCAGACTGTTCTGTATGCTGATGGACTTCTCAGGGCTTAAGAGGATCTCTTCGCCATCATAGGGGGACTTGAACTTCACGCCTTCCTCCGTGACGTCCGAGAGCGCAACAAGAGACACCATCTGAAACCCCCCGCTGTCCTGTAAGCAGAGCGAAGTCAACCACAAGATATCAACACAGAGCTCATCAACTACCTCTTCCACGTTTGTGAATGTGTAGTCATCACCTGTGAGTGGTTGATTTAAGAAAAGCTACACTCACAGTTAAGAGATTCCTCTTCCAGTTCATGAACCCATGTAAACCATTGGCTTTCTCGATTAAATCAGGCCCCTGCAGGCAGTGGAGTTAAAGTAGAAAAAACACATTTGGAGAAGAAAAGTTGTCATGAATGCATATAGCCAGTAGTGCTACTGTCGTAGTGTTGCTTACCGGTCTCATGCCCAGGTGGTATGTGTTTCCAAGACAAATCTGACAGCCAAGACCCTCAAGCTGATCCACAGTGATCCCTTTCAGAGTCCCCTGAGTACCGACAGGCATGAACACCGGCGTGCTGACGGCACAGTGTGGCAGTATCAGATCGCAAGCTCTTGCTTTAGTCACTGGGCACTCGGCAACGATTCGCAGAGCGAGAGGAGAAGCTGCAGACAGAGATTTCTTCACAGACATGTTTTCTGAAGTATTTACATCGGCTCCACACTCTGTGGTGGCGGCCATGTTGCAGTGGACACGTGACGTTCAAGCGGCGGCAACTGATAATCGCGTTGACCAATCAGAAACGAGCAATTTGTTGAGAGCGAAGAACACGCCTTTTAAGTATCCAATCAGAATGTCAGCTCGATGGAGGGGCAGCTAAAGTAGCCAATAGACTGCTTGGTTTTACAGACAAGAGGCGGGACTAAACTCGCCGGGTTCGATCGGATGTCGTCTCCTTTGGCCGGATGGTGTTTGTGTAGAAGGAAGTTTTGTTTTGCGAGTTTTTCCGTCCGTTTCGACTGACTGGGTATTTTTAGTTAACGCGCTCAAAAGAGCACCAAATGATATTAGTGTGAATTGCGTTTAAAGCGGCGGAACTCTAAACGTTACACTTCAGAGTAACCCGAGAGCAACTTCCTGCTAAGCTAACGTTACCTAGCTTAGTTAGCGCGGCTAGTGTTGGGCTCTGGTTTGTGTTGTGTTTGAAGGCGCTCTCCGAGCTAACGAAGCCATGGGGAACCGGGGCATGGAAGACCTGATTCCCCTCATCAACAAGCTCCAAGACGCCTTCAGCTCCATTGGCCAGAGTTGTAATTTGGACCTTCCTCAGATCGCTGTGGTCGGTGGACAGAGCGCTGGGAAAAGCTCAGTCTTGGAAAATTTCGTTGGCAGGTAGGTTACGTGACTGTTGTTAATTGAATTGGCAATTTCAATCAACTAATAGTTTAGTGACCTTACGTTCTTTAGTGACCTTACGTTCTCAAACGGTGCCTTTGATTGTCAGGCAGGAACGGTACTTTTTATAATGCAACTTGCCATCAAGCTAAGCTAATGTTAGCCACTCTCCCAGAACTAAACGTTATTATTAAGTTACGCACTTGACGTAAAACTGCCTTGAAAATGCAAAGTGGCTGCGGGTTTAACAACTTGATGCACACACGCCCTTTACGTGACAAACCAGTGGGCCAGTGGACAACTTTTTTTAATGAAGTTTTTTTTACTAGAGCTCGATGCAAACTTTCCTATTGTTCAAACGACAATGGGTGTAAACGTGTGAGGACACGTACTATCTCAGGTTGTTCTTCTGCTCATTGCCAATACTTTGCTCAATATGTGCCGTCTAAAACCACCAGTAAACTACCTGGATCCCTGGTTATACTCTGACATTTTCAACATGACAAACTAAGACCTTTTATAAAGAATTACATCAACTGATGTTTGTGTATTTAAATTGCACATTGTCCACTTTATTTTCAGTAAATTACAGTGCAGTTTATCTTATTTAGTCATGTCTTTATTCAGCCTTAGTTCTGAATGTGAACCTGTTTTACTATTAAATACTATTAAATGGTTGTGCATTAATTGTTATTTTGATGGGAGCTTTATTGAGTCACATAGCAGGTTGTTGTTGGAGTAGTGTGTTTATTCTTTCAGACGTGGGAGTACAAACATGTTTTTGGGAAGATCAGCAAAAGTCGAGCAGTGGAGGCAGAACAAGCCACCACCTTTACTTAGGGAACAGAATTTATGTGCAGTGTATAGTATACAACACATGGACTTTCACTTAACAAACAGTCTTTTGTCAAAATTCTGTCAAACAGCACAAGCTCACATCTGCTGCAGACACAACTTCCTTTACCATCTTCCTCTTTTGCTACCATTTTTGGCAAAAATTTAAGAAATTAAGGAAATACACTCGACGTCTTGCTATTCTCTGTGGTGTGAAGGTTAAGCTCCACTGCTCCTCAACAGGCCGGTGCCGTCGGTCCTGTGTTCCTCTCCCACATCAGCAGGGAGTAAGATCACCCTACAGATAAAGAAACAAAACAAGCTCGCTCTAAAGCAGCTTGTTTAGCAGGTTTCCGCCCCATTGAGAGACACTCACCGTGTGTGTGTGTGTGTGTGTGTGTAACCCAACCCACGCATGGATCGCACACACTCACGCAGGCCAGCCGGCATCAAAGCGGAAGTAGAGTGGCTGTTAAGATGGCATGCAGATAGGCCTTTAGTTATCAACACACGGGCGAGAGCACATCGTATCTGCTCTCAGGCAAACGCACACGCACAGATTAGACTACCACTCGGTGCACATTAATTCATACGAGTGGGACTATGCACTCTGAGAGCACTTGACACATATCAGCTGTAATTAACATTTCATGGTGACCTCAATTTCCCTGCCTGTGCAGTACCTCCATGTTCTGCCTGTTGACAGAACCAACATACACGCACATATGAAAATTACTCAAGCACTTTGCAAACTTGTACATGCTCATCCTTTTTATGAAGTATAAAAAGGAGTGCACTTTAGTGTTTGCTATCTTTTTTTCCAAACAATGAAAAGTGCAGCAGCTACTCTGTATGCCTGTTGCTGCAGTGCAGGTGAGCTTGAGGGCAGATAAAGTGGAACAGTAGAAGAAAGACTCGTAGCTACAAGGTCGAGTCTTACTTCAACCTGGAAGTACAGCATATAACCATAGCAACAGCGTTAATGTAGAGATGACTCATCGTTGATCTACGGGCTTGTTTGAGCTCAGGAGCAGCCAATACCTAATCCTGGTTTCCTCAGTCTATTTATTTGGTGAGTTGCATGTTGTGTGTAAAAGGCCGGCTTCATCCCTGTGACCCCAGGCATGAAAACAATCCCTCTTTGTCTTTCTCACCCCCGATTTCTGTCTCCTGCCTGAGCTCCATGCCGACGTCATGATCAGATGGAGAAGGGGAAGCTGTAGCTAGACCTGTGTCACCCCGTCTTGTTGGTGTGATTCGGCCCTGTGTTCCCACCACGTTGAGTGGAGACCAGTACACATTGGCTGGCTGGTCTGCATACTTTGCTGGGCAGAAGCTAATCAAATCACTCCGGCTCAACAGCCTCACGTATTTGTTAACGTTTCTGTCTTTTGGTAGCATGCGTGTCTATCCGTTCAGGTATGCATCGAGGTAACCTACTGATGGACCTTACGTTTTTTTTCTGACACATTGAACATACCCTAAATACATTAAATACACTAAAATCAGTTACATCATGGTAACAATCATTTAGCCGTAGCGTTTGAGGCCCTAATGCACCTTTCTCATGACAGATGCATGTGTATTTAATAACAATAATTATGGCTGCATTACATTCAGGCATGTCAGCGCCATGGCCCTGATATTGTGCATGCTGCTTCACTGGCATGGCTTACTGACAAACTAAATGGACCAGTCGGTATATGCAAAAATGTTCTCAGTGTTGTTTATTTACTGGCTTTTGTTTGTTTGATGCATGCATCGTTAGATCATATAATTAACTCTCAGTTTAGAGATAGGACTCTTTTTGTCTCTGCTCTGATGTTATTGCCCCAGTGGGGAGTAAAGACGTCATATCTATCCCAGCAAGCTGGTCTGGGTGGAGGAGGTTGTTATCAGATCTGTGGCGAGCAGACTACTGACAAACCAGGAGTTTTGTAAGCGTTGTAACAGTTGTCATTTAATACTGTACTAGATCGTTATAATAAAAAAACTCTGTTGAATTGGCATCATTGAAACCAATTTGATTGTTTGCGTTGTATGTATTTCATGATTTGTAGCAGTAGTCTTACTCCGGGTTGGCGTCGGCATGGATAAAAACAGTATTTGCTAGATGTTCTTGTGTAGCACAGTGTACATCCCTGTGAGGAAGAAGCACAGACATCCGAATAGCAGAGAGCAAAGGGATTTTCCACTAAGCAGTTGGATTTTTGGGAGTGCTTGAACAGGATGGGCTGCTAAGTGAGGCTTCATGGTACCCACAGTGATGGACTGTGGTGCCTGAATGCGGGTAGCCATAATTATATATCCGTTGCCACACCAGAGACCCATGCAATAAGTCCCAGCAAACCATAACCACATTTTAGTGTACTTCACCCTCCTGTGAGAGCCCAGTATGACCTCAGAGTTTCACACTCCGATGTTTTGAAAACAAGCCCCGTCAGGCCTCCATAGACTTGAGGAAATCTGCTGTGGAGTGTAGCTCCAGCTGTGGAGTGTAGCTCCACAGCAGATCAGAGTTGCTCTGCTGTTTGTAAGAGGCAGGGGCTGTCGGGGCCTGCAGGCAGGGGGCGGGGGGGGGGGGAGCTGGCTCTCCCGATCTCTGCCTGCCCTACTCTCTCTCTCTCTCTCCTGCTTTTGCTTTCTCTTGTCGTAGATGGAGGGAGGCTCACAGACTGATGCTCTTTGCTTGGCCATCCATAATGCATGAAATGATACACAATCTGCTCAGCCTCGTCTATCATTTACAGCGCATCAATAATGGAATCCTGGCCTCTTGCTTCTTTTTCAATATGCCGTTTATCCAATTCCGTCTATGGAGATTGACTGGTTCAATTCTGCACTTGTGTTTTGTCTTCTCAGAACACCATTTGTGAACAAACAACTTCTTTGTGTGTGTTTTTCACGTGAACTTTATTGATGCTTCATTTTATCACTGTGAATCTTTGACAAGCGGCCACCTGTTGAGCCAATGAGACGGGGTTTGACTGCTGAAAAGCCAGTGAGAGTTGTAACCGGAGATATCCATCAGTACGTTAGCAGTTTCTTGAGGTCATTCTCGCTGTGACCTCTTGGCAGCATCTTACCGCCTTTCTCCACGTCTCGTCTGTTAATTATATCCTTTCCCTCAGCCGGTAGTTCCATTGTTCTTTATCTATGTCTCCCTTGCTGCCACTCCTCATCCAGAGCTTTCTATACTATCCGCCGAGTGAACAAATGCCTGCATGCTCCACATTATGTGCATGACACTGCACCAGTGCTGAACCACAGACCTGTGGTTTTTTTTGCTGACGTAAGGAACATCCAGAATGTTCCCCAATGTTTCACCACAGGACCGCAGTCTGAGAGTAGCAGAGAGTATGTAGTAGGGCAACCACTCTCTTTTCTCCTGTCCTGTGGCCGACACATCGCTAACAGTCTGAAGTCAGCAGGCGGTGCTGAGCACCACCATAGTCCCCTCACGCCTGTAGTTCTGGCAGTAGGGAGGGAACGGAGAATGTGAGCTAGTGACATGCTCCGCTATGATTGTTCCAGGACCGGGGCCGGTGATTACCACCAGATGTAGCGTGTTTGCAGAGCAGCAGAGGGGCCGTCATAATTTGGGAGGGGAGTACAGAAGAACGGGTGGAGGAGGAGTGTCATCTGAGGGCTGTCTAGGCAACTTTGGTCATGACTCATGTAGCTAGAAATTCTTCAGGTACCCCGTCACGTTAAAGGGAACCAACACGCCAATTGTGAGAAAGTTCCTATTCTTTTTTCCTAGAAGGATAGGGTCTCAATAATGCACTTTGCACAAATAGCATTTGCCCATGTTTGTTTGCTGTCGTTTCATGCATTGTGCAATGCATTACTTTGTGTAATTACAGTGCATTGCGAAAGCATTCAACCACCCCTCCCCTATCCAAATAAAAATCTATTTACAATCCAGATTGTAGTGCAACAAAATAGGGAAAAACATGATGGGAGTGAATACCTTTGCAAGGCACTGTAAGTAGCATGATGCACGTTTCTAGTTGAGAGTGTGCACATAGAAAGATGTCGTCGAGGCCCAGGCCCGAGGCGAGTTTGGTTAAGGCGTGCGTCATAGTAGGTGATATATCGTGTATTGACACAGTCTGGGCTCACACACAAGCTAACGGTGACCAGCTGAAACAGGTCTGGCCTGACCTTTTAAATGGGCAGTAAATTGAGCAGTTTATCAATCGAAAACCACCACATTACAAGATCTCCCCCACGAAGGGTAAATCCACCCTAAAACTGAATTTATATTGCGCTTTTCCAATGATTTTGGTCAGATTACGTTTTTATAAACATCGACAACATTCTCCCCAAATTTGGAAATGAGTGTTCCCAGGCCGTTTTTTTTAATAGACACACCGGAACGTCATGAAATTGGCTGAATCTCTTCTCCTTCGCCCTCTTTTCAGTTGGCAAACAGCAAAACTTTGCTCATCACTGCCAACATCTGGTAAAGAGTGGGACAGAGAGCCCAGCTGACCAAATCATCCTTTCATGGTCGGGACGTCGTCTGACAAAATCAACATTAACACAGGTCACTGACCACAGCTGTGCTGTATGATCGGCTTCATTGACGTTTGAGAACAGGCGGACAGACGGTTACACGTCTGTCCTCCTGTTCTCTCTGGATACCTATAATGTGTTTTAATGCAACCAAATTCACACTATAGTTGTTCTCAATAACATATTGTTTGGTTTTGTAGTCAGACAACTGCGTGAGTATGAAGTAGTCATCGTATCGCGGTCCGTCAGTATTTCATTCCCGAGCTTCAGCGCGGCGGCGACAACATCCTCACTTTACGATCGCGTCGTCGTCTGAAATATTCAACATGAATCAAAGTTCATGACAACAAATGTTGACATATTCTGAGTCCGTGGTCCGGTAGGTTGTGTTCGAGACATCGCATTAAAACGTGACTTGTTTGAATTGCAAAACGTATTCGTGTCCCAATGAAATCACCCCGCGTGCTGCTCTAGTGCCGGAGGAGTTGTTCCATTATTCACCGTCTGTGGAGCAGCTCTAGGTTTTGTCCTTTGATGATATTATAATTACAGCCTGTTTCCACATAACATCTGTGAATTCTATTTTAGGGTGGATTTTCCACATACCAGAGAGAGTGGGTGTGAATGAATTGCTCTTTTAAAGCCCTAATGATGAGAGAAAATGACGTTGTCACGTTCGATTTGCTATAAGACAAGTCGGAGGCGTGAAATTCCCCTGCGTCCATCAATTTACCAGAGGCCACGCTGCACGGACATGGACATTGAGTGAATTGAATAATTAAGTGTTCTCTCTCTCTCTCTCTCTCTCTCTCTCTCTCTCTCTCTCTCTCTCTCCTGCTGTTTTCATTTCCCTCCTTTTCATCCTTGCTACTCTGTGTTTATGTGTCTTCTGTCTGTCTCCCTCAGGGACTTTCTTCCCCGTGGATCAGGCATTGTTACCCGTAGACCTCTCATTCTGCAGCTGGTCAACAATAAAGCCGGTGAGTGTTCCCGTCCTCCGCACAGACACACACACATCCCCTTCTGCTCTCATCGCTGCCCTGCACACGGCCTCTCTGTCACAGTGCCCCGAGCTAAGCTCACTCTCTAATTTAATATTCTCCTTTTTCTTTCTCTTTGTCCTTTTCTCTCCCCCACCCTCCCCCCTGTGTACGTCATTTTGCACCTGTGTGTAGAATATGCTGAATTCCTGCACTGCAAAGGGAAGAAGTTTGTGGATTTTGATGAAGTGCGGTTGGAAATTGAGGTGGAGACCGAGAGGATAACGGGCTCCAACAAAGGCATCTCTACCATCCCAATTAACCTGCGGGTCTACTCCCCAAACGGTAACAGACTCGAGTCTCATTGAGAAACACTGCACTGGTAACACTGTTTGCTCTTATGTAAGTCAATATATAAGTACATTTGCATGTTATACGGCGAGATATACCGAGAGATGATGTGAATTTGCCAACCAACCCGATTTTTCCACACTGTTCATACCGTGGTATGTCTTTATTTAATATCTCTGGTTGTATTAATAATAATGGGATTGTATCAGATCAATGTAGTGAAGTATTTTATGTGTTTTTAACTTGATAAACCAACCAAACGGGTGGTTATTTAATCCATGAATAATTTCTCAGTTGAATTCTGCGCAAATGGTACATCGCAATATATATTGTATTGCTTATAACATGATAGAAAAATAATACGATAAGTCACTTTTGAAATAATCTAATGTGGGTTTTTTATGTCGAGGGAAATTCAACATGAAATTTGACAATGTAATGTTGAATTCTTTCAGTGTCTGTAACACATGTAAGTAATATAAGCTCAGAGATGTTTTTATGGTAGATAGAGTTCTGTTTACAACAACAAACATCTGCCTTCCCAAATGTCTCGTTCACAAGATGAAAGCTTCCCTTTCACCACAGACACCCATTAAAGTGTTCGATTGAGGCGGATGCTGTCGACGTCTTTTGGATGTTTGTATGAAAAGGGAGGAAAACGAAGGCCTTCTTTTATTGAGAAAGCTTTTGAATAATCAAATACTAGTTTGTCTCACGTCCATCAAATCACGTAAATCAAACTAGATAAAATGCTTTGTTAAGAAAAGGAGTAGATATGGAATCATATTACTTGAATGAATGACAATAATCGTAGCTATGTGTCACGTCCGCCGATGGAAAAGCATCTTATTTGCACTTCTCATTTCTCAGTGCTGAACCTGACCCTGATCGACCTCCCGGGAATGACTAAGGTTGCGGTCGGAGACCAGCCTGTAGACATAGAGCACCAGATCAGAGACATGCTGCTGCAGTTCATCACCAAGGAGAGCTGTCTCATCCTGGCCGTCACACCGGCAAACAGCGACCTGGCCAACTCGGACGCTCTGAAGATCGCCAAGGAGGTGGACCCACAGGGTGAGCGTGGAGCTCTCTGCCGAACTTTTTTTTTTTTTTTTTTTTTAGCTGTTTATATTTTTGAAACGGGCCCGAGAAAAGGTCAAAGACACTGACGTAATTATTCTGTGTCGGGTCATTTTCCTCTGTATTATCCTGTAAGACATGTTGTTTGAGCTGATGTGGTTTTGTGTTGTGCAGGTCTGCGTACCATTGGTGTAATAACAAAGCTGGACCTGATGGATGAAGGGACGGATGCAAAGGACATCCTAGAAAATAAACTCCTCCCACTGCGTAGAGGTGAGGATGATGCGCACACGCAAACACATTCACAGACTTTGGTTTGGATTCTAGAGTGACTGTTTGTGTTATTTGTGTGCAGGCTACACCGGTGTGGTGAACCGCAGTCAGAAAGACATCGATGGGAAGAAGGACATTCGCGCTGCTCTGGCTGCGGAGAGGAAGTTCTTCCTGTCCCACCCGGGCTACAGACACCTGGCAGAGCGCATGGGCACACCGCATCTACAAAAGCTGCTCAACCAGGTCCGCTGTCAATTGTGAAATGTAATCTCCTCCCTGACAATGCCATTGATTCTGTAAAACAACAGTACTACCCCTGTCTGTCTTCAGCAATTGACCAACCACATCAGGGACACTCTCCCTGGTCTGCGCAGTAAGCTGCAGAGTCAGCTCCTCTCGCTGGAGAAGGAGGTAGAGGAGTACAAGAACTTCCGTCCAGATGACCCGACACGCAAGACCAAGGCCTTGTTGCAGTGAGTGCATCTGAATATTGCTGCTCATAACGATGCAGCATTCAATAGGTATTTACGGTAGATGTAACTCACGGCAGCCATGTTGGATGCCCACTGCACAGTGCTGATGAAAGTCACCTGGTCATTTATCCAGCACTTTCTTTCTGAAGTTGCTCACAGTAACTGTAATGAACAGTAATGTTTGCAGTGGGTCTCCAGAAAGGTTTAAGCTGCACTTGCAAGGAGATCCTTGACACTGGTGTCATGTTTGTGCTCGGGCCCCCTTCAGGATGGTGCAGCAGTTTGGCGTGGACTTTGAGAAGTGCATCGAGGGCTCCGGGGACCAGGTGGACACTAACGAGCTGTCGGGTGGCGCCAAAATCAATCGCCTCTTCCATGAACGCTTTCCCTTCGAACTGGTCAAGGTCAGTGTGAATAGCAATGATATGTTAAGTATTATTGTTGTGGTTGTTGTGGTCCAAGATTGAAGTATTGATTTGTGAAAGCATCACTTGAATCTTCACCCCCCCCCCCCCCCGCTGTCTCCCAGATTGTGTTTGACGAGAAGGAGTTAAGGCGAGAAATCAGTCACGCAATCAAGAATGTCCACGGTGTCAGGCAAGTGGAGCTCAATGAACACTGTTATTCTGCTTCACCACAAAACACTGCAGTACCCACATGCTTCGCTTCTTTCCCGACTACTGTAATCCATAATCAAGCTTTTCCATCAGAGACTAACTCTACCTCTTCAAAGAAACGGTGTTTTCTGTTGGATGTGAAATGTATTTCCTTATTTCTACTGACCCTCTCTGTTTCTCCGATCCCCTTTCTCCACACTGCAACACCACCCACTCATGTTTCTGTCTGCTGAGGCATTCAACTATTATGAGGTTTTGTGTTACATGTATCTTAGTCCCCTGCAGCGATAATGTTGTCATGTGTTCACCGATCCTCTCCTGTTTGTCATATCTCATTTGTTGTTGTCTGCGTTATTACATTTACATTCCACCCCCCCCTTATTGTGACTGTCCGTATACGGATTTTCTGTTACTTTGTCCATAACCTCAGATCTCCTCAGTCACCTAATCATCCGTCCATTCATCTGTTCTGTTTGACCTACATGTCCCGTTAACTGTCCCATCGGTCTGCCGCTGTGCCTCTGTCTCTCTGTGCATCCTCAGAACGGGGCTGTTCACTCCAGACCTGGCGTTTGAGGCCATCGTGAAAAAGCAGATCGTTAAGCTGAAAACGCCCTGTCTCAAATGTATCGATCTGGTCATTCAGGAGCTCATCAACACAGTCAGGCAGTGCACCAACAAGGTACATGCCGGTGTCCAGCATCTCCCGACCCAGCCGAGACACGGGGCTGGGCGACCGTGGGTGTGGCAGAGGGTACGCTGACGAGGAACATTAGCCAACAAATTCCTACAATATCCGGAAATCAGTTCAGTTGTTAAAAAAAAAAAGAAACGTTCTGTGCGGTTTGCCCTCAGCCCAGCCCGATTAGCCCTGTGTGCAGGCAGCGCTGTCGTGTTGTGGAGTGTTGTGACGGGTGACGTGTCGTCGTGGATTTGAGATGTTTCGGGGACCGTCTGAACATCTCTGGTCTCGCCTGGACAAGCTGCAGGTCTCATGGCTCAGTACACATAGCCAGCAAAACAAGGGGAAGGTCTGAAGCTGTAATTTGGCCCTGGGTTGGAGGTGACGTGTCCGTCTTCACAATATTGAGCTAGTCTGAGAGGAACTGGCGTGTCAGGGAAGAGGATGTGAAAGACCTGTGGCTTGTCCTTCTCCAATGCTTGATTTATCTCACAACAGCTGGAAATGACTAACTGAACAAAGACTCCTGTTTTTATTTCTTCTTTCTCTTTCCTGGCTTTCCTCTCTTTCTCTTTCCCTTCTTTTCTGGATATCCCTTTCTCTCTCTCTTTCTCTCTCTCTCGCTCTACACCACCACAACAACACGCAATCTGACCCCGTGACCTTTCAGAACGGGGCTCTTCACCCCCGACCTGGCTTTCGAGGCGATAGTCAAAAAGCAGATCCTCAAACTCAAAGAGCCCAGCCTCAAGTGTGTGGACCTTGTGGTGTCCGAGCTCACCGCGCTCGTCATGAAGTGTGCCGTGAAGGTAACCGGGGACACACCTGCTGGGAAGATGGCATGAAAGGAGAAGGCGTTCCTCTTAGAGATGCACCAATCGAACAAACGCCGTCCTGTCAGCTGATCGGCCATGACCGTTGACTGCCTGGTCAGTGACCTATATCCATCCGTCTGTTAAAATGACAGACCGTAACGTCACAGCCACACACGCAACATGCACGTTGCTCACACAGTGCCATCTGCAGCACAGAGTTCAGACACACACGTCATGTCGTCTGTTTGGAAGTTCTTCAGCGTGAGTGAAGAAGACATAAAGCTTATGATGTGTAAGTCTTGGAGGAACAACTTTAAAAACATTTGAAACAACTTTGTTTGTTTGAGGGGAAGTTTTTTGATCGTCAATGTTTTATTATGAACATACAATTGAATAAAAAAAAATAGGTATGAAAGAAAAGTGACAAAAATGTTTGTACAGCTGTTAATTACAGTTCTTAGAAAGAAGAAAATCAGAATCGACCGGTCAGAGTTCGGCCTGGAAGCTTGCAGTCGGTGCATCTCTAAGTCTTCTCCAAATGTCTGTCATTGTCATCCCAGTGAAATCAGTCCAATCGCCCCCCCCCCACCCTTGCCATCAGTGCCCACTGCTTCGATCGTGTGTATCGTCCCATCCCCATTCTGTTCCAACCCTCTTGAAGTCTCCACACCATTCAGATTGAGCACTGACTCACAATTCAAATCAGACATTTTAAGCACAACCTAAAGTTTCCATCAGACGGCGAAACACCAGCTGTTTGACCTCAGCAGAGACGGTTCAGCACACTATGTGCTGAACCGGATGGAAGGGGAGTGATGTGAGATTTGGGGGGGTAGCTAGTGGGTGCAGTGGCAGTCTGAATGGAGCGTTTCCATAGCAACGGTGCTCCACTGCCACCTTGTGGACAGAGGGAGGGATTCTACATACACTCAGTGATCCGTCCGTCCCTCTGTCTCTGTTTACCTCTGTCTCTTTCCTTCTTATCCAGTCTTCACTAACATTGACACTTTCCATCAGCTACAGATGATTGGTTTGAATGTATACATTTGGACATTGCTCTTGTTTGTTAGTTGCATGATTAACTAACAGCATTAGCACATTGATTCTTAGTTCATGAAGTCATCACTGGCTGATGGTAACAGACAGTCGCTGTGTATTCAAAGCCTGTTTCTATATGTGTGTGTGTGTGTGTGTGTGTGTGTGTGTGTGTGTGTGTGTCGGTTTGTGGTTGTTTGGATATGTGTGACACTGAAATGTCACTTGACGACCTTCTTTCCCTTTTCTTTGTTCTCCACTTATTCTCACTTCTCACTCCTGTTTGTCTCTGATACTTATTGGTAAGTCTTACTAAGCTCCAGCTCACATGTAAGTGTGTGTGTGTGTGTGTGTTTGGGTGTGTCTTCTGTTCAGTGCTGCAGCTGTGTGTTGTGTTGCCTTTCAGCTCAATTCCTACCCCAGACTGAGAGAGGAGACGGAGAGGATCGTCACCACCCACGTCCGAGAAAGAGAAGGGAAGACGAAGGACCAGGTGAGTTCCTGAGATTAGATGAACTCTCGAGTGTGCAAAGTCAGGCTTTGATGTTTATCTTTTTCACCTGTAGAGAAAATACAGCAAGAGCCACAATCTACAATTAACATGTACTCCAATATTACGTTGAAATGCTGGCGACTCCTCCCACGTTATTGTATATAAATGGCAGAAGGAGAGCGTGACACGATGTAACAAAAGGTGAAGTGGTCAACTGACACCAACCGTTAAGACCTCAAACCGTCTTTAAGGATTGCAAACTTAAATCAACAAAAAAGTGAACCAAAGATGCCTCAAACTAATATTTTCCAACTTCTTGTTTTGTTTAACAGCCCCTTTCTTTATTGTGGTGGAAAATACGTTATTGTGTGATTTATTCTGTTTGTTTGACTTGAGTGGGAGTCAGTGTTTCCTTTGGCACCGCTTTCCTTTAATCAGCACAACGAAGTCCTTCTGATGTGTGACAGAACAGCAGTTTTTTTTTTTTTTTTGAGAAATTCAAATTAGAGATCACTCAATGGTTTCAAGTGTTGTTTTCAGGACTTTATTCTACTCTGGGTGGAGAAGCCTTGGAAACAACACAAGGGCCCAACTCCTTTAATAACATGACTAATGAGAGTTCTAGGTTTTTGTTGCAGCGCTCACAGGCAGGAAGTGAGGCCGATTGAATTTGTTTATAAACTGAGACTTTATCATTCATCAGTCGTATTGTCAACTCCATCCCATCTGCACTTTGCAGCATTGCTGATATCCGTCTGACTACAAAGCTGTGTATAAACTCAGCTTTAGATGTAATCTCTCTCCGGTTTGTTTTCCTGCAAGTGTGAAGTATCAGAAGTGAAGCCGAGCCCTTTCTCATTTGTGCCTTCTGTAAAGTGGTGTTTAATTTGAGACCTCTCCGTCCTAATCCTGATGTTCTGCCACTTATCAAGGTTCTGCTGCTGATCGACATTGAGCTGTCCTACATCAACACCAATCATGAGGACTTCATAGGCTTTGCCAAGTATGTACACCCCCCCCAACCTTTTCTAGCTCAACTTACAGCTTGATGCCCAGTGACCCCAGTCTCAGCACGAGCATTGTGGTCCCCATTAACTACATGTTGCCCATCATCTGAGGTGCACTTGACATTTACGAAGGAAAAGACTTGTTTCAGAGACGTAACAGAATCACTGCTACTGAATCTAAGTGTTGCTTTGTTGTTCGCCACATGTTGTAAACTGCGGCACCTCGGTGTGATGTAGCATGCCAATTAGTGATCCAGCCACATCAAGAGCATGTGTCTCCCTGTGGGGGAGGGGGATGCCACAACGATTAAGGTCGCATTAATTGCCCACCTCTCCGCCCTACATGCCCCCCCCCCAAACAAAGTCAATGAAGCATGCTCGATTTCTCGATGGATAAACTTCCTGTCGGCTGAAGAATGCTTACTGTACCAATGGACAGAGCAGTGTTGACGTTTTCCCTGGATTGGCTGGTAGCTGCTGTTGTGCACTGGAGACTTATTTGCACACTTCAAAGCACCCACTTGTCATGTTTCCATTCACACATGTTTATGTGCATTTTGAAGTATCGCATTAGAAAAGCTCTACGGAAAACCACAAAAGGGTTTTCACGCTCACTTGAGGTGGTTTTTGCCTTTTATCAAAAAATCGTTAATTTGAATTGGTAATGAAAACAGCCTTGATGAATCATTTCAGACGTCGCCAATATTTTAACTCGCATGACTGATGAGCTGTTTCTGCTGTCTGTGTTTTCCTAGACATATATTTCTATTATCTTCAGGCAGCATTAAATATATGGCCGATACGAGAAATACGAGAAATTCAAACTTGCCCAATTGAAACAAAATCCTGGAGACCTCTCTCCATTTTCCTCTCGTAGAAGCTTGAATGGCCACGGTGACTTGTTATGTTTCCAGTTCGCCGCCTCCTCTTCTTCTTCTTCTACTCTGTTTACCGGATGCGTAGCCTATACTACTCTGTAGTAAAGCCTGCATTTATTTTTTGCAACATTTCAAAAGTTTGCTTAAATTCACTCGACAATTGAATGGAATCACGGCTACTGTTTCTTTGTGGTGCACCCCTAAGCGGTTTAGAGTTTGGGTTGAATTAACATTAACAGTCCCTTTAGTGTTACAGTAGCATGTAGTGGAGTGGAGCTACCCTCTGTGTTGGTTGACAGAGTAACAAAGCAAGCCCCCCCCCACTCCTGTGTGTGTGTGTGTGTGTGAGGGTTCATGCCTAGCCTCTGCATGGCGAGATTGCTGTAATGTATCGCAGGTCAGCTAGAGCTGTTTAACGGTTCTCATGACATCACTTTCAGTCTTGACTACAGAAGGCTGGATGATGGTAGCTCCCCAGGGTACGGCAACAACAGGTGGGCTCACAGAGAGGATGTCGGGTTGTGTGTCCAGTGTGTGTGTGAGAGAGAGAGACAGTTTGACCCTCCGTGTTGTCCAAATTCCTCCACAGATTCCCCTTCATGTATGTGTGTATCGGGTTATAGATTTGCATCAGAACTGTGGATTTACACAAACACAAGAGACTAAAGGCTAAAAAACACAAGTAGCATAATATTGTAAATGAAGAGAATATTATTGGAATAGAAGTGACGCATGAATATTTATTGTTTGGTGTGTTGCCATCAATACGTCTCGTCTTTTCTGTCCATGTTTGTGTGATGACAGTGCCCAGCAGAGGAACACGGCTGCGAACAAGAAGAGGGCCATACCCAACCAGGTACCTTCTATCACTCGGCACCGGCCAGATTTAATCTCCCTCGACCGATGGCTCCCATTACCAGCCTATTAGTCCACCGTGTGAATATATCTCACTCCAGCACATAGCCATTAATCTATCTTGACCTAACTGTTAACAATACCTCCTCTGTACATAAGTGTACACAGTCCCTTTGATTTATTATCCTCACTCTAAACTGGCTTTGTCCACAATGTTTTAAAGCTGGTCCTTCTCCTTTAACAAACCGATATCTAGCAAAGTGTGTTTTGTATTTCAATGTGTGTTTTGTAAGATCCTGAAATGTGATTAATAGCGCTGCTCCTCAGCATCAGAGGTTGCAGTTTCAGTGAGGGAAGAGTTGCCTTAATGAGCCTAAAGTACACTCTGCCTCCCTGCTTTTCTGAATTAATTGCTGTTTGCATGTGACCCAGGCATGTTGTTCCACAGCAAAGCAACGGCTCATTACAGAATTCTGTTGGCTTGTTTTTTCGTTACCTCCCCATTAACTCACAAGCATCTTCTGTATTGAACTTCAGAATGTGCATGGACCTCGCACCTATCAACTGAGCAACAGCTATGACATAACCAAATTGTGGTTTACTTGAAGTAATTCTAATTGCATGTAACTCTTGCTCTCTCTCTCTCTCTCTCTCACACTGGCTGTCTCATTATTACTTTCTGTTTCCTCCTGTTTTTGTCATTCCCACTATTTCACCCTTTTCTCTCGACCTTTCCTTAAACTTTCATTCTCTTTCTTCTTTCTTCCTCTTCTCTCCTTCCAACTCTCCCCTTGCTGCCCTTTCTCTCATCTTTCCCTCATCTTGGCTTGCTTGCTTTCTCACTTCTTTTTGCTTTGGTTTCATACTGCACCCCTTCCCATTACTGCAGGGTGAGATTCTGGTAAGTACCCCAAAGATGTAATGCTAGGGGGGCAGCAGGGGTAGGCCGTGCAGAAGGACTGAGGCCATCACACACACAGGTCAGCCAGTCTGGTTAGGGTGGAAAAGACCAAATGCTGTGAGACAACAGCAGAAACAGTTCCCGGTGAATACACGGTTGATACCTCACCATAATGAGTTGTTCTCTCTGCAGCTTGGCGGACTGGGAGAAGTCCACGAGGAGAAGGTAGAGTCTCCAGACTGATCAGTCACAATTATGGCATCAGCACTCGGTTACCAGTAATTTGGAACTGACCCAACAGTAACACATGGCTGGTTTGCTCTCGTAATTATTGGTTTCATTTGAATAAGACAGTAATTGTCTTTTAATTGCACATATTTGGGTTGCTACTAACATTTCCCCTTTTCTCCACCAAATCGTTTAAACGAGACGTGACTTATTGTACCTCCACGAAGGATTTAGTCACTGTGCAATGCAACAAAGAGAACGGGGAACTCTTCCACCACTGACTGAGGAAATGGCGTCAGTTCTCATGCCTTTGCGGTCGTACCTCTACTGCCGCCTCATGCGTTGTGACTCAAAAAAGTTTGCCTTGTGAGAATCATCTGAAACGACGCTGGGGGAGGGAGCAGGGAGCCATTTAAATCAGCAACACAGTAAAAGTATTGATTCATGTCTAATGATTTCATTTACAGATTAAATGCATGTTAAAACACTTTCCAACGTAAAGGCCTTACATGTCCAGAAGACCACCGGTCTCCAAGTCTATCATTTCTATACTCGGAGTTGATCAAAACGTTTTGTGTGGTGTCATGGCTTTGGGATGATTTCCAGTGATTTGATCAAAACATTTCTTTTCATAACCTACTGACTATCTTGACTAATTTAAATTGGCATGTTTCTTTCAAATTTGAATCCTTGGAGTTAATCTCAGATGTAATCGTGCATCTATAATGAACCACTTGCAAAACTTCAATTTACAAAAAAAAGGATTGAACATTTCTACGGCATCTCGTACGTGACATGCTGACATCTCATTGTTTCATCTTTCTCGTGTCAACTTGGCCACAACATTTCCAACTGACTTTCAGACTTTTATATCGGGGATTTAAAACTTTTTGTTTCTTTTTTAAAAAAAAAAAAAAAAAGTTTGAGTTATTTCCCAGCCAGGGCAAACTACCGTTAAGCCTCTATGCACATGCTTCCTCTGCCGTGTTTATGAACTAACAAACCTTCTTTCCCCTCATAACTCACCTCTGCTGGATGGAGAGGGGGAGCAGACGAGAGGTCTAGAGCGGACTGTGAAATCTCTCTTTGCTTTACTTAGAATAAGAGCACACTACTCACAGACAGTGATTTCCTCCATTGGACTTGAAATGTAGAAAGAAAACAGAGAGACATGGTAGCTAAGAGGGCTCCTCTAAAATGTATCCTCAGTGATTTCCTCAACTCTGCCTCTCAGTCTGATGTATTTCCTCCCTCTCCATCTCTCCACTTTAGATTTGTTGTCTAGATTTCTGTCCCTCTATGAACTCCAATAGATCGGCTAACCAGCCGTTGCAATTCCTTTCTCCTCCATTACCCCCGTCTTCTGCATTCCCTTCTCCCCATCTTCTACTTAAACAGTTATATATCGGAGTCCAGTTAACCCCGTCTTAATTGTTTTACGCGTAGCCTAGCTTCTACTGACCCGCTCACGCCTAACATACCACCGTCGACTTTTGGTCTTTGTCTGTGTGTCAGGCTTAGCTTCGTCTGGACACCATCTGGTCCCGTTTGTGTTAACGGATTTATTTTCTGTCGAGTGAAAAACATCCCTTTTCAGTGTTTTGCATACAATCGGCCATATTACTACACACATTATGTATTCCTGTGCATGCATTACAGTCCTTTGGTCTCTCCTTATTCATTCCATAAGACTCACATTCAACCCATACTTCTCTGTGTTATAGTGCATATATTTGACTCATAGAGATAGATAAAATAAAGGTAAAAGACAGCCAGATTTATAGTGACCAAGCAGGTAAGATTTTATTAGTGTCACTCACATCCCAGTACCACTCATAGGGCCCTTGTGTCACATAAGCCTGATTGACAAAGCTGTTCTTCTCCGTCCTCCCGGGACCCCCTGTCTCCCTACCACCCTTTTCTCTCTCTTCCACGTCTTCTCCTCGCTGTGCAGGTGATCAGGAAAGGCTGGCTAACCCTCAATATCCGCATCTTGAAGGGAGGCTCCAAGGAGTACTGGTTCATCCTGACTGCGGAGTCCCTGTCCTGGTACAAAGATGACGAGGTGAGAGGACGTTCTGTTCCATTGCTGTATTTCACTGGACACGGATCGCTAAGATAAGCTGACACATAAAGGTGAAGGTACTGCATGAGGCACTGATAAACATCCTGAGTGGAGATTTTGTCATCGCCAAAGGTGGCTGGAGGTGTGTGTGTGCGTCCCAGCCCAGCCTAACCAATGTGCAGACTACTGTTCAGCTGTAGCCGGATGAACAGGTAGTCTGAACACTGGGCAGGCGGGGGGGTGAGGAGGACTCTGGAGGGAGGAAGGACCCCGAGGTCATTGCGGCTGCAGGTCGCTGCCCTAGGACAGTAGGACAGAGGGCACAGAAAGCAAACATTACCCCATTGAAACAATAACGCATATGACAAAAAGTCTGATAAATCAGGACCCACAACGCCCCGATACTTTTAATCTTATCAAGCATATATTATTTAAAATGGAGCTTAATATGAAACATCTGACCTTTCTACTGATTCAAGCAAATCTGTCCAGACACGGTGGACTGCGTTCCCTCCTGTTTAAATAACTACAATCAGCAAACTCACTACAGTTTATCAAAGACTTAAGAGAGTGACTTTAATGATGAATATTGCATACGTGATCTGAAATCAAATGATCTAGTTTCACTGGTGATTTGATTTTAACGTCATTTAAAAGACTGATTTAACTAAATAGAACATTTGTCTACAGTGGTGAATAAGTGCAAATAGCGTTGTACTGGCTTTACTCACCGCTTGATCTTCTTCCCAAAGCCTCAGTCTTATCATTCTATCCAATCCATTAAAATAACAAAGACCCAGTAAAAGATACCACTGCTGAGGATGAACTCCATTTCAGTGGCCTCGGTTTGTCCAAACGCCGACTGGAAACGGTGCAATTTCTGTGTTGGTCGCCTTTTGCGAAAAAGCAAAGAGAAAGAGAGGGAGGATGGTGGAGGCAAACTGACGTGGCAGGCGGGCTGAAATGTTCCAGCCGGGATCTGACTTTGGAATTTGCAGGAAATCGTACTGGGTTACGGGGGGGGAGGGGGGGGAATTGTGTGTGTGCATGTAGTAGTAGGCGCTTGTCCACATGAGTCCTCCTGTATCTTTTAGGGTTTGGACAGTTGGTTGTATCTATGTGAATGCATGTTTTTGCACCAAACCCCATGATATGCGTTTGTTCAATTGGTTCAGGCTTGTGTATGTTTGTTTGTCTTTGCACGTGCAGTTACGTGTTTTTTTTTTTTTTTTTTTTTTTTTTTTTTTTTTTG